TATTTTAGGGCTCTTCCCAAATGGCGGGTATTTTACCTCTAAAATGAGGGGGATGAAAGAAAATGGAATTGTCCAAATTGCTTCAGCAGCAACTCCTGACAGAGCTAACCTAAAAACTTAAAGAGGTTACTCAGCAGCCCAGTCCCTCCACAATCAATCCCACTCCAGTACCTGGAGGTATGCTGAGAGGAACTACTGGACCCAGCCTTTGTCTGTTTCCATTTTAATTTATATTTATTTTAAATTTAACATATACTACATAAAATTAGCATTTCTATATGCAAAGCAGACCAGAAGATAATGGCTGTACATGAAACTGTGAATCTCAATTAAGTAGCAGTGTGTGATGGAACCCTTTGGCAATCTGGTGAAGCCTACAGACCCTTTCTCTGAATTAAGTTTTAAAATAATTGAATGAAATGCTAAATTTCAGTTAAAAGCTAGTGAAAATAAAAATGCCATTTTCCCCCACTGAACTTCAGAGATCCCCAGAAATCTATCCACTGACCCCAAGAGACCCCTGGTCAAGAACCTCTTATGGAGAGCTTGCTTTTCTTTAAAGTCTATAATAAATTCAACATGTAACTTTCAAAACTGTCTAGTACGTCATGATTCATTATGGCCTTTCTTCTATTTTGGTCTTTCTTTTTAGTGGGGGAGAGGAAAGACTGTCCCGAGCTCTTCCTATCTATCTCCCACAACTCCCAAAAACTTTCTTGGGGAAAAAAAAAAGACAAACAAAACCCTAGTTACAAATATGGATCATCAAGTCATATAAATTTCCCCAATGAACTTGTCCAAAACTGTTTGTTTAAATCTGTAACTTGATTCTGATATCTCTGTCAGGAGGTGAGTACAACTCTTCCTTCGCTGGAGACCAGGCTTTTCAAGCTGTATGTACAACCAAAGGTGTAGCACATGGGTGGTGGGAGCAAGAGAGTAAGGGAGGGTGGGCGGAAATAATATTGAAAAACACAATACAAAACTACCAGAACTGGGGCTCAAAGGAGAACATTTCAGAGGGGGAAATAAATACAAGTAAACACTGATTTTGCGAATGGAGAAAGAAGTGAGCTGTAATGTATTTTGCCATGGAAGAAAGAGAACAAAAACCAGACAAAAAGGCAGCAAGCCTACTAGAATTGGAATCAGAAGACCAGGGTTCAAATCCCACTCACTACCTGTTACTTGGGCTAAATCATTACCTTCATTTCTTTATCTGTCAAATGAGAGGGTTGCACTAGCTGATCTTTCAAGTTCCTTCCAGATCTAAACTAAGATCCCATGATGGTTTCAGTCTATGCTATAGATGTCAAATTATCAGTCTTAACACAATGCCTTATGTGAACTGCTGAACAAAACAAAATAAATTGGCAAAGGCTAAACCCTCCTTGACTTCCTCTTAGCAAACTAGCTTCACATTATCATTCTATCTACCTCCTGCCAATATAAATCTCAGAAAATCACCTTGACAGATAAATAAAAAATGTATTGGAACACTAACAGCTATCACTTGATATATGTAATTTAGGTGAACAAAATTTAATTTCATACAATTCATCCCAAAAAAGAGATAAATCCGCATTTCTCCCCAATTGGCTTAAGTCATTTTTTTACCCAAGCTCACTAACAGGGATAATTAAATTTGAAAAGATCAAATGTATTGATTGAGCTAGGGACCCCCAGGTACTTGCTAGAAGAATGAAACTGATGAAAAGGAAACATCACTTTGGTATTTATTAATGCATGGGTGGACAGATTTATAGGGAAAGTCTCAGGCCTGGGGGAGTTCATTTTTAAAAAAATATGATTTACAGTGCAGTCAGGAATCAAGGGTAAAAAGCCTTTGAGAAATCCACTGGTGTGCAAGCAGTATGCTGGCTACAGAAATCTATAATTTTTAATATTAACATCTGTATGAGAGACCAAAATTCCCCAGGATATTAACTCTTTTTTGGAAAAGACTTTTTTTTTCTATGAAAAAAGTAGGCATTATGAAAAAAAAAAGACACATTAAACATTCAAAGTTGCCAAACTAATGATTTCTTGGCTCTACATGCATGGTTAATCTGGTCAAACTTTATGATATGTAAAATAAATCATTATTAAGCTCTCTTTATCAAATGATATACAAACCATATGTATGCATGTATGTGTCCCTAGATAGATAAAAGGACAGGTCAGTATTTCTAAATATCTATGATACTTTTCATGAGAGTATTCCTTTCAATGATTCAAATCACGGTCATTAGCTGCCAACCCCCAGTAGCTGGTTTCATGAGTTGTCTGTGCAAAAGAAATTCAGCCACTGTTTGGCTGACCTCAGAGTGATAAATCTTTCCAAACCCTGCTATATTACTCCTAAGACAACAACCATATAATATATTTCTGGCCCATATTCAAAACCTTTCCAAATTGGTAAGATTTGCCATACTTTAGCATAGACTTTGAGTCCCTGGGGTTACTGACATTCTATGAAGAGGAATCAAAGAAGGAATTCAGTGTACTTGTATACATGCACATACATGAGTAATGTACTGCCCCTTTTGTATGTAAGAAGTTTGGTTGTTTTTTGAAAGGGGCAGAAAATGAGCTGTTGTGTAAAGAAGATGTATGAAGTCAACTTGTGAAGGGTATAAGGTATTCCCCCTCTAGTTTATAAAGCCTGCCTTTGAAAAGGTGCAAAAAGAGGCCTTTTGTGTAAGGAAAAATTGAAAAAAATCACATGAAAAGAAAAGTAATTTCAAATAAAATGTCAGAGACACAGACAATTAGGAAGACAAAACAAAACTCAGAGGACCTGTTGGATAGAGGATAAGAAATGCTTGAGGTTGTAGGCACTATAATTCCTCAGTTCATTTGTATGTGATTAATTCAATTAGAGTTTGAGAGGCTAAAACATATAAAAGAGTAAATTAAATAACTATTTAGAGGCTATTAGATGATTAAATAAGGACTGGTAGCTTCACAACTAGGAGAAAATTGGATTTATCAGGACAAGATAAGCTTTGAGTATCTGGAGGCTCTTATCTGAGTCACTGAGGAAACCAGAAGAAGGGAAGAGCCTAATGGAAGGAAATGAATTGTGAAGATGACAGGAGGCAATAACTGCTACAGGAAAGTCAGTTCACAGAAAAGTTTTAGCTGCTGTGATAGAAGATGCTGATAAGCTGGAGGAAGTTTGAAACTCACTGAATTTGGAAAACTGAATTCTGCTTTTTGCTTTCCAGCACCAAGTAGAGCCTAAGAAAGGTGCAACCTCCCAGAAATGCTAACTGCTCTCTACTTCTGGTTTAATAAGGAGAAACACAAGGGAAAAGAGAAGTTCCATATTTGCTTCGCTCTTAAAAGAAGCTGACTCAACATTACAAATATCCTGTTGAGTGAAGACCTTGCTGGGTTTGTCTGCCTTACCCAGAAAGTCAATGCGAGGAGCTCTGCAGTTCTCTACCTTAAGGAACACTATCTCAGTGACCTTTAAAGAGGGATTGTGAATTAAAAGATATTTTCACTGCCTCATCAGTTAGAGAATAGAAATGAAGCAGATTTGCCTTACAGGAGAGCAGTGAGGATAAGAAGGGGTACAGTTAGAAAATAATTTTGTAAGGTATAAATTCTTCATGAAAAGACCAAGGACATAAAAACCTACAGTTCAGAGTTGTGAGTATATGAATTGTCCTTGTGTTTTCTTGCTTCTCGTTAGGTTTCTATAAGTGTGTTCACAATTTCTCCCCTGGATACTGTGTGCATAGGGAAATATGACTTGGACTTATGTGTAGACTGTAATTTGTTGACGATTCTTGCATTTGCTCTATATTGAGCAACGGTGATGTACTGATTATATTTGCTTTTGCCTTACTGTTAAGTAACCATTTTCTAATTACTAATTACTATTAAGTAATCATTTAAGAGTTAATGGTAAAGGGGAAAAGACCTATTTGTACAAAAATATTTATAGTGGCTCTTTCTGTGGTAGGCAAGAATTGGAAATTGAGGATATGTTCATCAACTGGGGAGTGGCTGAACAAGTTGTGTGTGCTATAAGAAATGATGAGCAGGTAGATTTCAGAAAAACTTGGAAAGACTTATATGAACTGATGCAATGTGAAGTGAACAGAACCAGGAAAACATTGTACACAGTGACAGTAATACTGTACGATGATCAGGTGATCAATGAATGAATCAATTCAGGCCTGCTAATATGAGTGCAGTTGGGGTGAATGAGCCAGCCTAGACATAGAGTAGGATGATATGATCTTTGCAATAGCAACATTATCTAGACATAGTAAGTGTACCACACAGGTGATATAGTTGCAAATATATGTCACTATATAATCACACATGAGAGTCAATGGTGTAGTGGATAGGAAGCTGGTCTCACAGTCAGGAAGACCCAGGTTCAAGCCTTACCTCTGATATATACTGGCTTTGTGACCCTGGGGCACTCTTGATAATAAGACATTTAACCTCTCATTGTCCCCAGACAATTCCCTAAGACCATAAATTGCAGAGCAGACCCAGATCTCAACAGTGGAGGAATTTCCTCCCTGAGAGTTCCCTTTGTCAATGAAATCACAAGTCCACCCCATAACGCCCCCCAAAAGGAATAGTTACAAACATATATAATTTAAATGCATCTGATAAATGAGATGTATATATGAATTATAGTCTTTCAAAGAAACTTCCATACAACAGCCAAAGTACCTGAGAAGCACTAAAGTTAAAAAACAAATTCTCACTTTTGTTGATAATCTTATTTAATGGGCTCCCAGAATAGTACCACCATTGAACCACCATTACCGCCAAATGTTTGTCACACATGATTACTTTTTAGCAACCCTCACTGCCAATTCAATTTGAATTTTGTTTACATTATAAAGGTCCCTGCTATCAAAATCAATTTCCTCACCTTGACAAAAATGTCATTTTTTTTGGCTTTCAAGCCCATTGGTTTGAAAATAAAAATCTCTATGAAGATAATTTGAAGGAAATGCAGTTACCTAGGTCTGTAGAGGCAGTAAGACAGGTGCTTGGTTTGAACTCTTTTTGTCTGGATGAATATCCTCATCCGAGGGTCAAAATACAACACAGATGTGTAGGCTCTGAATGACCATCGTTCTGGGAGACTGCAACATAAAACATTGAAGACCATAATCGGAGGGAGTAATGTGAACATCACTTGAAGAAGAGAGAAAAATCTGATGTATAATAAAGGAATATGCTGTGTGAGTTTACAGAGGTCACTATGGGAAGCTTCAGTGCATTAAAGAGGCATTTGGCTAATGGGGCTTCAAACACTAGACATTTCTATAACTCTCCAATACTTCATTTAGCGCCCCTCTAAATGTCTAACATGGCACAGATGATAAATGGTGCATACACATTTGAACTATTATTGAACTTCTCTAATGAACAGTCATCTGATTCTGCGTAAGAAACTTATCTTCTAGCATGCCAGAAAGGAATGATTGGTTTGGTTCTGGGTAGAACGGCAACCAGAGCAAAGTAACACTGGCTGGGCTGGGGGTGACCTTGCAGTGGCTCAGTTGCCACTAAGGCATAAAGAACTGCCCTCACCCCTTTTACATGCATAAAATGCATTTTTGCATTTTCTCCCCAAAAGGGATCATATAAAGGACTAGGGTCTGTGCCTATGATTTCACTGGTCTAAAAAAGTCCCAGTGAAGAAACTCCTTGTAGATCAGGATGTAGATCAGGAATTAATAGTATCTTAGACAATTGCCTGGGGCCTTGACCCACATAAGCTATGTATCAGAGGAGTCATTTGAGCTCAGGTCTTCCTGACTCAAAGACCAGCTCTCTATCTACCAGCCCTTCAGTCCCAATCTATCTTACATTTTACTACTTTATATGTGTTTATATTCATCCATTTTATATTTATGATGTGTATCTTTGCACATGAATATCTTTTCTCCTTAACATAAGTGATTTATAAGTGGTGATTCTTTTTCTATTTTTATTCATTCTTCCCTCCCTTCCTTCCTTCCCTTTTCCTTCTTTTCTTTTCTCCTTTCCTTTTTTCCTTCCTTTCTTTTTTTCCTTTCTCCTTCCTTTCCCCCTCCCTCCCTTTTTTCTTCTTTCCTTTCCCCCTTCCTCTCTTCCTTCCCTTTCTCTTTTACATTCTTTCATTTCTTCTTTCTCTTTTTCACTTCCTTTCTTTCCTTCCTTCCCTCCCTTCTCTCTCTCTCTCTCTTTCTCCACAGCACCTAACACAAAACCTAGCACATAACAGTTGCTTAATAAGTACTTGTTGGTTGATTTAAATGACCTACATGGAGTTAAATACAACCAAAGTTAAAATTATCAGAATGCTGAAAAAAGGAGCTAATTAAAATTTCATAACTTGTTCCATTTCTGAACTATGAAGTAGCTAACCAGATTTTCATCTCTGTTTAAAATACATCTAAGCAAAATGTCAACACAAAGAGGTAGCTTAAGAGAAAAGTTATAAGCCATTCAAAGTAATGAAAATGGTTCTCCTGGACATAACCATGGCATTGCTAGGTAACGCTATGCTAATAATCATTCAAAGCTATGATTTTCATTGTGTTCCTAAGTTAGTTCAGATAGGGCATATGCTAGAAATACTGTGCACTACTTTATAACTGTCAATTTAGGAACACATTGGCAATAAGGAAGCTGATTTCCAAATATTACTTAGCAAACAATTTCATATCATTGTCTGACATTATTCTAAAGCCTGTCTATACCTTTGAAGAGGTTATTCTGTTTATCTGAGATCTTGAGATAGAGCAGGTTCTGAGAAAACAGTAGGCCCCATGGGAATGCAGCAGTAGGTTTCTTAGGGGCATGCCTTCTTTCTTTCTTTCTTTCTTTTTCTTTCTATCTCTTTTTCTTTCTCTCTCTCTTTCTTTCTTATTCTCTTACTAAAAATTTTATTTTCTCCCCCTCCCATCTATACCCCTACTGAGGAAAAACAAGAAAAAGAAAAGCCCCATAATGCAGTCAAGCAAAATACCACATCTAAAAAATGTCTCATTCTGCTTTCTGGGTCTACCCTCTCTCCTCTCTGTTCCTGTTTTCTTCTCTTTCCCCTTTTTCCATAAAGCTATACCCTGGTATCACATAATAAAATCCAGTGAGAAGAGCACAGATGCTTAAGAATGCAGCTGTGAAACTTCATGATTGATCATGAGACCCTAACCAGCTATTTGAACTTGAGGGATGCAGAAGGACCCAACCCACAAAGTTCTCAAAGAGGAGAGGGAAGGATTGGCACTTCTTTAAACTCCATCTTTTCTTCACTTTAGTGGAGATCTGAAAAGCTCTCTACTAACTCAAGAGGAATAGAAACCACTTCCAGGACACGTAGGAGGAGTCAGCACTCTGTTCTTACATCCTTGGAGAAGGCACTCGGACCTCAGAAGCTAGGAGCTAGTGTGTCCCAGGGCAACTTGGGGATCTGGAAGTCCCTTAGGCAGCTCAGGCAACTCAGTTTCAACATTCACTAAAAGCCTACAATGTGCTACTACTTGTAAGCACTATACTGGGTACTGTGGAGAATGGCGAGAGTTAAAACTGGTCCTCTGCTCTAAAGGCATCTAGATGGTACAGTGGATAGTACAATGGACTTAGGTCACTACGACCTGAATTCAAATTCAGCCTCAGCTACCTACTAGCTATGTGACCCTGGGCAAGGAGTCCTTGACTGCTTCAGTTCCTTCATTTGAAAAATGGGGGTGATAATAGCACCTAATACCCAGGGTTGTTGTGAGGATAAAATGTACTCTATAAAGGCTATCTATCATTGCTATTATTATCAAGAAGCCAACAAGCTTAACAGAAAGGACAAAAATATGTACCAGTAGCTATACTACCTATAATAATAACATACAAGGATATGGGGCTTGGGATAGTTACAAACACAGTGCTATGTAGCATTGCATTCACTAATCTGTCTTTCAACTTGAAGGCCCCCAAATCAGATAACCAGTGCTTGACTCTTTCCTCTACAGCCTGGGGGCTGCTGTCAATATAGCAAGGACAGAAGGGGAGGGGCAAGTAGCTGGCACAGTGGATAAAGTATTGGACCGAGCATAGGAAGACCTGAGCTTAAATCTGGCCTCAGACGCTTAGTAGCTATGTGATCCTGAGCAAGTCACTTCACCCTGTTTGCCTCAGTTTCCTCATCTCTCAAATGAGCTGGAGAAGGCAATGGCAAATAATTCTAGTATCTTTATCAAGAAAACTCCAAATGGGGTCATGAAGAGTCAGACACAATTGTAATGACTGAACAACAAAGAGAAAGGAAATAGAAGAAACATGGTGGCCATGGGTCAGAATCAAATCCACAATGCTATTAGTGTTTCTGAACTTGAAACACAATTTCAATAACTGAGAGAATGTACATAAAGCATTTTTAAAGCATAAAGCTCGATATAAATACTAGCTATCGCTGTTGTTGCTGACCTGTTCCTTAAGATCAGGTCCCCACCCATGCTCCCATTCTGTGATTAGGTCTCCTGCTGTCTAATCTTGCCATGCTTAGGTCTCTGTACTGGTTTCCTGCCTGGTACCCCAGTTCTTCAATGACAGGAATCCTGCTTCACACACCTCAGCGTGAGGCCGAGTTCTGCTTATGGATGACAGACAGCCATGATGTTAGTTAAGCCTCAGGCTTTCTAATCTGAAGAAGTCTGTCCTGTCCCAGAGGCAGGGGCTAGGGTTTCAAGCATGTCTCATAAATTGATATTCAAGGATCTAATGACTACATGTCTAGAACCAATCTGTTCTGAATTTCCCCTCTAGTATATGGCATCAGCGGTAATACCCACCACCAGTTTTCTTCAAAGTCCTTATTAGCAGAGCATACTATTATTTTGGGGAATATCAAAGTCAATAATCAATGCCACCAAAGTAGGAAGGTTGGGTTAGTTAAATATCCAGATGACCAACAGGGAAGAACAAAAGAGTGTGGAAAGAGAAGAAAACATTAGCTGAAGCAAGGCCTAAGCCCATCATTCAGTAAAGTATATTAGATAAAAACATCTGAATTATGAAGTTATTATTCCATACCCCCAGAGGCAGTGTGGTGAGACAGACAGAGTATTGGACTTCAAGTCAGGAAGACCTGGGTTCAAATATTGCCTCAGACACTTAGTAACAGTGTGACCTTAAGTAAGTCACTGGGCCTCAGACAAACTTCCTAGAACTCATCCACTAAGTCATAGGTAAGGTGTAACCTGTATTGATGCAGGGGGGCTTTTACCTGAATTCCCTGACCACAGCACAGAACTATCAAGTACTGATCTAATTCCATAACCTTTGGCCACACCAATCCTTGGCCACACAGTGAACCACTGACACCTGAGAGGATTGCAATAGGCACTGGTGGAGGGAGTGGCCACAACAATGAAATCAAGATCTTTCAAAGCTCTTAAGTCACAGTGTTTTCCAACATGTGTTCGTCATTTATAGAGACAACTTCTTTGCAGCTGTCTATACAGTCTAAGCTAACTATATACTCAACATATTATTTTATATACCTAACTTTGGTTTGCCTCAGTTTTCTCATCTGTAAAATGGGGAAATAACACCTACCTCCTAGCATTGGTGAGAGGATAAAATGAGATAATATGGGCAAAGTGCTTTCCAAAAAATAATGCACTATATACATTCTAGCTATTATTATTGTTAATGTATGTAAAATGGAAGAAAAAAAACTTGAACTCCAGTTTTAAATTCCAAGGTGATTAGAAGCTCCAGTTTTAAATTCCAAGGTGATTAGAAGCTCCAGTTTTAAATTCCAAGGTGATTAGAAGCAGACTATGTAATAGTTTAATAAAAATGTGTTCTATTTCATTAAATCTTAACCATAACAATGACTTATAATGTTCATGACTACTGGGTAGATTTCTTTCATTGCAAATCTAATGATGTTAATAACAGAAAGAAATAATTTGGGCAACAAGGTTGTTGAGGGAGTAGAGCACTTCATCTTGGAGTCAAGATTGACCTTTGAATCCAGCCTCGGATCCTCACCAGATGCATGATACTGAACACATCTGTTAAACCTCTCTCAGCCTCAAGTTTCCTCATTCATAAAATAGGGATAATAAAGCAATCACCTCACAGAGCTGTTGTG